GGGCCCCAAGACTGCCCCAAGCTGGAAGATAAGAGCAGCTAATGGCACATGAACATGGAGAATCCAATGAGGTGTTAGAAGACCCCAGACCATAAATCACTGTAGGACTAAGAAGCTCACGTAGGGCACTTGAGGAGTGTTTGAAGGTCGGGTGTACAGACTGTAAGGGTGGAAAGGCCCAGGGATTTCTTTGGTCGGGGTCACTCTCTGCTGGCACCCAGCTCAAAATGAAATAAACCAACTCTGCCTTAGAACCCAGGGTCCAATCTCATCTTTCACATTTACAAGAAGCACACAGATTCACTGGACCAAGGGACAGTTCAAAAAATAAGAAAAAAGATAATAAACAAATTCCAGCACACTTTTCAAGAGAGACTACTCAGTCAGTGGTTTTTGAAGCATGGGCATTGCAATTAGCATTTGAACTAGATTCTTACCAGTCAGTGAGGTGAATAAGAATGTACCTGCAAGGGTGTTTTCTAGACTGCTAGACAAGGCTAGCTAACAACATCTGCTGGAATTGCTCCATTTTCTGTACAGATTTTTTCACAGGGACAAAGAGGTTCTTGTCGCATACTCTCATACATTTCTAACAAGCAGACAAAAATGACTATTCTGCTACTTGATGGGAACCTCTCCTGTGGCAAATTTTTACCTAACTAAATATAACTAAGCATAACTAAAGCATCATAATTAAAGCATCAGAGACACATTCATCAACTCAATAGCTCCTAATACTGTCTGCATTTTAAGTGCTTAAGTCTCACAGTAAATTTACCCAAAGGACAATTAGGTCTCCTTATAAATCTTTTTATTATATTCTTATATTCCTTTATATGTGCCACATAACAATTTTCTACATTTCTTCCCTTGTCACATCTCTGAGCTGTAGGGAACTGGTTGTAATGGATGTAAAGAAAGCCAGAAAAAACAGTTTAAACAGAATGTGTAACTTAGTAGATGGTGGTGTAAGGAAACCTTTCATTCAAAATGGACAAGCCCCACCAGATATGAAACCAGGTGATCAGGCTACATGACGGTGGGATTAGGAAAACAGAGAAACTACAACTATTCCAACATTTGGAATCATCATTAGCCACTGTCTCACTTTTTAAGAAGTCTTAGCATTCTCTGTAAAAAGACATTGCTTGAAATCAATAGTGACTTATGGCACCTGCTGCCGTGCTATATCCAAGTTAGCAGCATTACCTAGCATGGATATACAGAGAGAGACCTAAAGCAAATGACTTTGTGCCACTTTGTCTCAAAGGTCAAAACTCTCAGCAGACACAGATGGAAGAGACTGACGTGCTCCCTGTTTGCTGTGTTGATGCACACCTGGCTGGCACAGCTTTCCCTGATGGAGAATAACAACAAGGGACAGTTCCCTCACACCCATGCAGCCCAGAGATCTGCAGGTCATCATCAGCCCCTGGCTTTGTAAGTGACCAGTTCTGCTGGGATGGAAGCCAACCACCCAATCCTGCCTGACTTCAGTGGCAGCAGCAGCAGCAGCAGCAGCAGCAGCAGCAGCAGCAGCAGCAGCAGCAGCAGCAGCAGCAGCGGCTGGGCTGGACAGAGGATGCACACGGCACACTGTTCCTGAAGAATGTGACTTTGGAAACAAGCACCCACCACTGTCCCCTGTTGTTTGCAGTAAGGTCACACCAGCCTGAGTCACTTGGCAGCCCTCAATGCCACGTGGGACAGCAGATGACAGGCTCTGGCCTCCAGGACCAAACAGAGGGGGGAACTCGCTCTCCAGATGGAGCTTCCAGATTGAAAAGGCTGCAGTGAGCAGCCACCACTAAGGGCAGACAAATGAGGCTCTCCTGCACTTTAGCTGTGCCAGCTACAAAGCCCTGGGGAGCAGCTGCCGAGTCCTGGGACAAAAGCAAGCAGAGAAAGTGGGATAAACCCAGTCAAGCCCAGAGACTTTTCGTGATTGCTGAGCCCCAGATGGCCCCCAAGAGTGGCGTCAACCACCAGTCCTTCTGAGCTGACAAAGAGCAGGTCCAGTGGGTGCCTTCCTTCGTTGGCCAGGCACCTCCCAGGCTGTTTTCTCTCCACTCTCCTGTACTGCCAGCAGACGTGCCCACTTTCTTGGTTCCACTTGCAGAGCCTCATACCTCTTAGCCATGGCCACCTGGGAAGCGGGAGCAGTCCCAGAGGAGATGTGCCATCTCCACCAGGCAGGAACCACAAGCCTCTGTGTGCACAGCTGAAAGGCTGTATCCCCACAGGATGTTTTGGCTGCCCTGCTCTTCATAGCCTTTTGGCTGGAAATGCAATTGCACTTTCTTTCTCAAGCAGAAGTCCACGGCTGGGCAAAAACTTGGCCGCTGGAATGTAATCCAAAGGCAGTGGAGGCTGCACTTGCTAAAGGAAGAGCACTCCCAAATCCAAACCACACCAGAAGGTCCATAGGAAGGACATTTCATCTTTAAGAAAGAATGGACAATTCAGAAGGGGAACATACAGCAGTATTCCCTGGGAGACAAGGAAGGGAATCTTGCAACTGGCTTGAGGGTTTCTAGGATTTTATTCTGAGTCTGGCTGTGAGCTGGCATTGGAGAAAGTTATCCTGAATTGCACCTGGACATCTTCTCTGCTTCATCAATTGTTTCCCTTCAAATTTCCTTCATTTTCATTTGAAAAGCACCTGGAGTGGAGATTTATGTGGCGGGGGCCCTTGTGATCTGTAGAAGGAATAGCAGAAGTACTAACTAACAGTCATAAAAACAGCAGCAGTAGGAAAGCAGCCACACAGCCAATCCATTTCTCTGGAGCATTTGGTCTCCAGTGACTGGTGACAAGGCAGGAGTCTAAAGGCAATCTAGGAAGCCATCTGCTCTGATCAGTTTGGCCAGACCAGCACACACACGTTGACTGGGCCATTTGCTGGGTCACAAGGGCCAGCTAAGAGACAAACCCCTCCCAGACAGTCAGTGTCCAGAGAAGCTGTGCCCATTAGGAGCCCAGAGGAGTCCAAAACAACACGCAAACTCTCTGTCCACACCCTTTGCCTCTTGATTGGCTCTGCTTCATACCTCTTCTTGGTAGCTTGAATGATGGCAACTTCCTGCTTCATCTCAAGCTGCTATTTCTCCTGCTCCCTCTGCACCTCTGCCGGGAAGTGTTCCCGTTGCTCCAGCAGCTGCTGTGCCTGCAAACGCTGTCGTTCCATCTTGTTTGCCTGCTGAAGGGAGGAAAACACTTCCAGATGAAGTCCCAGCCAAGCTCCCCTAAAAAACAGAGCAAGCCACATGCCTCATACA